TGTGGCTGCTGAACCCAAGAGGCAAGGCGGTGAGGGGACGTGGAACTACTTCGAGGGAAGGCAGGGATTCCCTAGGAAACATCTGATGTCTAGTCCTATGATTCACAACAGGAGGAGGCACTAAGCCACCATACCCAACAAGACCAACCAAAAAAAGAGCAGATGGAAAACTTGATTGATGTCGTGATATTTTAGAATAGGGACTGGAAAGGTGGGCAGGATATAGTAGTAACAAAATGATACAACACTTCAAATCACTCTTGCGCCCTCAGTGCTTCTAACATTTTCACTTGCATTCACCAGTTACGACTATGCCTTTGGCTGCCTCACTGCTTATTAGCGAGGGCACCCTTTCCAGCAGGGCGCGAAGGAGAGGAACTGAGGAAGCAGCTTTGCTCATTTAAGGTCCTACTTATACAGCGATACTCCGATTGTTGAAGCTGGAAGGGAATGTAGACATATTTAATCAGTCTTCACAGATGAGGAAACCGATGCAGTGGCTTTTGGGGATGTGTAGGTGGAGCACTACCCTTGTCTGCTGTAGGTAAGCACACCTCATCTGGGAAGTGCTGGAGTTAGAAGGCAAAGACGTGTTTCTGTGATAACAGTGCCTCAATCGCCAATCCTTAATTTACATCCTGGACTGGCTGCTCTCTAATTTCATTCCACAGAAGTCTCTAGAACATATTCAAAAACAGATTCTATAAATAGGATTTGCAGACTTTTCCCTACGAATTAATTGCACAGAAAAGGAAACGGGCTTGTACCATCACCCAGTAAAGGAGCAGCTCCCCCGCCCCGCCCAAATAACACTCCTTTCTCCAGCTGCTGCATGGTGGATTGAAATGAATAAGAAAACTGGAAGGAAAGGCCCACAGTGCCGCCCATGTATGACTAAGAGGCGGCACTTAGCGGCCTGCAGGCACGGACAGTACAGAATGCTGCCCTGCTTCTATGGACAAACAGTGAGCACAGTTCTATGTCAACGTCAGGAACCGACACTGTCCCTCACTACACACAGAAGTCAGAGCAAGAGTCCCAAGCTGGCAGGGAAGGCCCGGAGCGGGCTGCAAGGGGTGGGGGGAGGTGAGCAGAAGGCAAGATACCCTCCATGAATTTGGGACAGCAGTAAAGGGTCTTTGTCCATCATTTCATGTGTGGGAAACTGACTCCAAGCAAAGTGAAGGGACTCGCTCAAGACCTCGCAGGGTATGGGTGGCTGGGGGGCAAAGCTGAGCTGACTGTGTTGACTTCCATGTCTTTGTGAACTTCACACGAGCTAGGGACACTGCAGGGAAGACAGCGAAGATCACAGCGAGTGGTGCTGTGGCCAGGTGACACAGGAGAAGAGCTCAAAAGCTCCCGTTTCTGGTGTCAAGACAAAACATATCTTAGTGAGTGAAGGGGGCTTAAGGCTTTTTGTTTATAGATGGGATTTAATGGGTAAGAACAGTTCACAGTCATTACAATGTGGGCAGCACATTTAGCACAATGCTGGATCTTATACGGAGTACATGCAGTGCATTAAATTACTCAGAAGCTTTCACAACCACTCCTGCCTTCCCCATTTCCCTCTGGGCACCCTGAGAGACCCTGATATGACGGCCCAGTGATATGAAGAATCACTGCTCTGAGGATGCAGTCACAGAGTGGGCTGTGCCATAGCTCTCAGATGTGCTGGGGCAGGGAAGAATCCAACAACCGAGGATGCCGTAGCCTCACAGTAACTATTATGCAGTTGACCAAATCATTTCCTACACCTTCTAGAATAATCCTTCTAGACCATTAGAAGCACACAAGTAATTAAAATTCTTCTATTAGCCACATTACAAAAGAAAAAGAGATGAGTAAAATTCACATTAATAATATATTGAACTCAACATACCCAAAGTATGCCATTTCAGCAAGTAGTAATATGTATCATGAAATATTTTACTTTTTCACACTAAGCCTTCAAAATCTGATGTGTATTTTACATTTACAGCACATTTTGATCCCCAATTAGCTACATTTCAAGTGTTCAATTGCCACATGTGGCTAGTGGCTGCCATGCTGGACATATAACCTCCTTTGCCTCTCTCATTCACACTAGTAAGCTCCAGAAGAAACAGAAATTTCTCCATAATGTAACCATTCCTACCTGTCTCAAGGCCTTTTCCTTTCTAAGTCTAATGCTTCCACTTTGGTCTTTATTCCATCCCAACTCTCCGCCACTCAGTCATCAAGTAATCATTACTGCGTGCCTACTAAGGGCGCGCCTTTGTGTTGACTTATGAGGATGAGAGGTCAGTAAGACACAGATTCTGACTTCCAGGAGCCCTTAGCTTAGGGGGACATGAAGGCACACACTGCAGAGTCTGATGAAGGCTATGCAGAGATGCCTAGGAGGGGTGCACAGAGGAAGGAGTGACCACGTCCTCTGGGGCTTCTGGAAAACATTCATAGGGATGAGATGGGACATTTGGACAGGGTTTTAAGGGATGCGGGAAAATTGTGGAGAGGCAGGGAAAGGTGTTTCAGGCAAAGGGAAACACATAACCAAACATAAGTATGATGATCTGCATGCTTGGAAATGGCAAGTGTCTAGTAGGGCGAGAAGATGGCAAGCAGCCTGGAGAGTGGCTGGCGAGGTGAGCTGGGCAGCGACTGCCCGGTGAGACGTTCAGAATTACTGAGGGGTCATTCTGTGAGTGAGGAAACCTCGTGGTGGGTTTTAGCACAGACTGGAGAGGACAGAAAAGCAAGGAGAGCCTGAACAAAGGGGCAGCACTCTGATTAGAAGGGAGGCGATGTGAGCACCCAAGTGAAGGAAGGAAATGTGAGAGCACTATTTTCTGAGGACAGTGTTGAGATGGGGCATTATGATGGAACCGGGGCAGAGGGTGTAATAGGTCATGCTTTCCAAGCTCAAAACTGAAGGCCCCGAGATGCTATTATACAGGACTACCACAACCTGTTGGGAGGTGACAGCATTCAATGGCCTCTTTCCCTGAAGAATTAAGAGCTACCTATGGGTTAATTTAGGCAGTAGACAGAATCATGCTAAGATAATTCCACAATTGCTCAGTAATCCATGCCCGTGAGATGCAGCAGGTGCTGGGCAGCACCTGGCTGGCTTGCTCAGATGATATGATGGCTTATTTGACCTTGAGTTTTCTGGAAGAAGCCTGGAACTCTCAGGTAAGAACAGCATAGCAACAACATGACATTCATAGTGAAAAGGAGCCTTTGAGGTTGACGGGTTCTCCTTTCACAGATGGGAGAGCTGAAGCACAGAAAGGGGCAAGGCTTACAGGTCATACAGTCAGTAAGTTGCAGAGCTGAGAAGAGAATTCAGCCTCTGCAGCACCAAAGCCACAATGAGTGTGGGACAACAGGTGCCATGGAGAACCGTCTACCTTTATAGAAAACTAAAGTGGAAAAGAGAAAGCAAGGCCAGAGACACACTCACTAATAAAACTGCGAGCCACGCAGATGCAGCTTAGCAGCAGTGCACGAGGTACTCACATGGAGAAATGTCCACGAAGTTGGGGTCGATGTTGTGCAGCAGTTCCGTTCTGGGGGATGGGCTTCCTTCACTAGAAAAGAATTTTTTAGGCAACATTAATTTCCTCTCTCAAATGAGTATGGACAATTTTAATACTTCCTACTCTTATACTTGTAGGAAATAACAAACATGCCAGTTAACAACTTTGTCATGAATTCAGATATCCCCAAACTCTTTGGCTGGTGCCTCTATCTTCAAGAAGTCATCATTTATCTATAATATAATAATGACTGAACATTTACACAAGAGCTTCAATGTCAAGCACATTTTTAAATGTGACCTTCTGCAATAGACAATGAGGCTGTATTTGAACAGCAGTGAAATGAGAACTCAAGACACCCTGTGTAGACTGCACACGGAATCCTCACAGTGAAATGAAGACAAGCATCTGCCAAGCTGGCAGCGTCGGTACTGCAGATGCAACATGCCTCTGAATATAAGCCTCTGAGAGAAAAACTACTGTTTTCCATATCTGGACTGGCAACATGCAGGGAACTCATTTAATACAAATGCATGTGAAATATATGTACCTCTTTAACATTTAAAAAAAGGGTATATGCAAATACAATCACAACCTATAAGAGTGCTGAAAAAAACTTGGTCCTTTAGTCCAATCCTCTCATGTTATAGATGAGGAAGGCACAGAGTAGGTTATTGGCCAAATAAGGGGTTGTGTGACTCTCAAAATAGTGCTCTGAAAAAACTGGGAGCAGAGCCACCATCAGATGTATGTGGGGTGTGCATGAAATACCCAGGTCATTTTGCTACTATAAACCAGGCCTTATGGAAGGCGCTAGACACAATCTCAATCACTGGGAGAGAACAGTGGACAACTCGATAATCCAATAGAAGGTAGTCAAGAACTGTTAAAACTCTGGGGATTAGTTCTGTCTGGTGTGGCTCAGTGGATTGAGTGCCAGCCTGAGAACCAAAGGGTCACTAGTTCAATTCCCAGTCAGGGCGCATGCCTGGGTTGTGGGCCAGATCCCAGTAGGGGACATGTGAGAGGCAACCACATACTGAGATTTCTCTCCCTCTCTCTCTCTCTCTCTCTTCCCCTCTCTCTGAAAGTAAATAAATAAAATCCTTAAAAACAAACAAATAAACAAAAACCCCTTGGGATTTATACATGCCTGAATAACCTGTTCAGGTTCCTGCTGTGACCAAGAGGCTATGCTCTCAGGTGGCTCAGTGTACCCGTACACCAAACTCACAGCCAGCTGTCTACAGCAGCAGTTTGGGATTCCAAGGACCATAAAATTTAAAAAAAAAAAAAAAATCTGGATTGTGATTGGCAACCTTGTATTTGCCACATAAGGAAATGTTAAGACAAAATTAAATTAGTTAAAAACAAAACAAAAAACTTCAACTGCTACCATCATTTTGTTTTTCTTCTGGATGCGAGTCCCTTTATTAGATGTAGAATTTGTTAATATTTTCTTTAATTCTACAGGTTGTCTCTTTGCTTTCCTGATGGCATCATTTGCAGAACAAAAGTTTTAGCATATGATACCATTTTTCCCTCAAAGGTATGTATACCAAAGTGGGTTGGATTTTTAAAAATTTGTTTTTATACATTTATAACACCATTTTTAGCATGTCAACTGTGTGATCACCACAATCTTACAGAATAAATTGTGGCCTCATCAAACTCATAAAATGTTTATGGGATTGATTATTGCTACATTACAACATATGTTAGCTTCTATCTTCTATATGTTTCTATATGAACTTATATATAATACTACAAATATTGTGGTATTTCATTATTCTTTTGTACATTATTCCAAAGTCTCATTTCCATACAACCAAAGTACTAGAAAGTGGGCAGTGTCAATTGCTTCAATAGTTTCTGGTCTTCTGGCCAATTCTGAAGGTCTCACTTTTCCAAATGCAAAATAGCACTAACAGCCTTTCAGAGCTTGCAGCTCAACTCCACAAATTACAGGCCACACAAACTTGAGCCTTGTTTTTCTCACTAGCAGAATGTAGATCAAAGGACAGACTGACTTTACAGGGTTGCTATGAGAATTAAATGAGGCAACGTATGTAAAGCACTTAGCACAGTCTGGGGTGTCTTAAGTGCTGAGTAAGCTGCTCACTTAAAAACAACATTGTTCACTGCAAAATGCGGATTCTGACTCTGCAGACATGAAAAAATTATACAAGACTAGAACCTGAGATGCAGATACAAGCATAGTATGTAGATACAATGGACATTAAGATCCCTATCCATTCTTCTTGCTGGCAAGAGTTCTCCTTATGAAATACGTTGATGTAGCTATAACTTTAAATTTCTAAGACAGGTTATGATACATATGAGAGTCCCTTTTTAGAAAAGTATCAGAGTCAAATACAGTTGGGTCACACATCACACAGTCTACTCAGTATGAGCTGCATATAAAAAAGACGTATTGTAATCTGTTATCTAAGAATTTTCCTTATTTTTCGGTTTAGGCACATGGCTCATTTTAGCTGTATAAGCAACACTATCTTCACAAGGCTCTTGATTCCTTAGTTAAAGGTAAATCTCTGAAAAACGACTGGTGATGTTTACAGTACGTGATTTTTCAATAATCACACAGGTTCCTTGTTTTTAGGTGACTCAAGGTAACGGGTGTTTTTATTATGGCAACTGTTTGTGCTCCAGGTTGGCAGAAACTAAGGAGAGCTCTCTGATTATTAGCTCCTGTAAGGTAGGCACCTATCAGGCTTTCCAAAGACCTTTGCTGCACAGTGCTCACCTCCAGCCCAGCATACATTACTGGCTAAGGCAGTCAGTTCACACTGACCACTTAATGACAGAGACCGACCTGTACACCAGTGAAACGGGCATGTTTCATGCACGTCCATTACAATCAAACTGGAGTTACTGTGGGGGGTTGGGCTAGGCTAGTTAGAATAACAGTGGCTAGCATTTACAGAGTATTTATGATATACTGTGTAGCATTTTCAATGCTTTACATGTATTATCTCATTTAATTCTTGACACTATGATACAGACACAGCCTTGGCACACTGCACTTAATGAGTTACGAGATCACATGGTGAAGCAGGTGATAGAATTGGGTCTGCAACTCAGGCAGATTCCCCACTCCTAACCCCTGTGCTTGATTGTCTCCTCAGTGGAATGTAAACACGGCCTCAGCATCTCCTTGAATGTCTTATATTTCCACTCATTTAGCTTATTATTAAGGCCCAATTAACAAACACCGCTATTCAAATACCTCTATTAAGAGCTGTTTTTCTCTATTCTCTTGTCCTAAAGACTGATACATTTCAGTATTCAATTTTAATTTACCTCAAATTTCATATATTCTGGATTAATTAAAAACAACAGAGCAAGGAGAAACTGATCAGGGACTAGTTTCCAATATGCTATAAATATTTTCTAAAAGTCTACAGTTTCAGACACTGAGATCACAGCACTGTCCATTTATAAATAGAGTTTCCAGTTTTTGACTTTCATTTTCCAACTAGCTGAAGGGTGGGGTGGTAAAACATTCCCCATAAATAAATGAAATGCTATTACATTCCATATTTCTTTGCCCACTAGTTGCTGACCATCTGTCATAGAAGGACACACCCCGTAAGGCAGTATCAAATTTTTAGAAACCTGTTAACCCTTAGAAAGCATCTTCATCATTGTGATCACCTTCCTTCAGGCTAAGTGTTTTTTTTATACATAGTCTTTTCCCTAAATCCTCACGTAGGTGCCTATACAGCAGGTACCACTACTAGCACATTTTACACATGAAGAAACTAATGCTCACAGATGGGAAGTAACTTTCCCAAGATCATAAAAAATAAATAGATAAGATGGGATTTGAACTATATCTAACCATAAAGTTCACATTCTTAACCATTATTATAGTGAAATAAGTCCCTTATAGTACTTATGTTCTTTGTTATGTGGGTGTGGGTGATACTGCATTTCTGCAAATCCCACGCACCTTGAAAAGCCATTTTAACATGCAAACATCACCACAAATAAAGAGTCTAGGCATGGAAATGATCAAGTCTTGACTACACTTGAAGAAGAAATTCATTTGATATATGAGGAGGGAATTTTTTCATGTGCATTTTTATTGAAGAATCTTATTAAATTTCTTAAGTAGGCTACTTAAGAAATAAGTAATATAAAAAATAATGGAATCATGCCCTTAATATAATCTTTTCCTATTCATTACTGTAAAATAATTGGTAGGACTTCTGAGTTAGTCTCTAGGTAAACCAGCAGGGCCTAATACGCCTTCATTCCAATTTCCATTATAAAACTCATGAAGAATTACAAAGCGATGAAAACTGGCAAGAGTGTTGGAAAATAAAGAGAAGACCAGACGCTGAAGTCCCGAGGGAACTTCGACGAATGCCAGTGCTAAAGAGATCAACAACACATTCTCGGATTCTACCTAAGAGCCAGAACCTGATCCCAAAGCACGTAGGAAAAGATGGATCCATTCTGTCTGCCTTTAGCTGGATGACTCAGGGGCAGCAGCATAAAAAACAGGCAATGACTTCCCATTGGCCACCTTCACAGCTAGGCCCTCCTGCCCTTCCTCCCGCAGCCCCAGCAGCGTCCTTCCCTGTGCCCATCCAGGCAGCAAACGCCATGCTACATGGGAGTAAACAGAAGAAACACACAAGACCCATAGCATCCTAGAACGCAGCACCTAACTACAAAAAAAATCTAAAACAGCCCGCAGAGCACTACATACTAGGGGCATAGGGTAGAAGCTTTTTTGTCAAAAATGGTAAAGTAGGGAATCAAAAACAAAAACAAAAAAAAACCAAACCCACATCATTCTTTAAACACTCTAACTTAGAAACACATATAGTCTCTTGGCAGTCTTTGAAGGCAGAGCTACCACTTGTGTTAGGTAGCAGCTAGGAAAGAGTGGCCAGAGGAGAAATAAAGGAAGGGCCCTCATCATTATAATTAAAAAAAAAAAAACAAACTTAAAACAGGAGGCTAGATGCAAAAGGAAAACATGTCTCACCAATTAACTCAGCTGTCCTGAGCCCGGTTTGACAAGAATACAGGGTGTCCTGAGCACTGCAAACAAAACGGGTGCCTACAGGAGGGGAGAGTCCTTGAGCCTGTGCCGAGGAAAGGGGCTTCTGTGACAAACTTACTCAGACTGCCAAGTGATCTGAACATCACAAGCAGGGATTACACAGAGGGAAGAAGGGGTCCTATGCTGGGAAAGGGGGCCTCTGTAACAATTTCACCAAGACAGAGTCTATACTAATTGAGAAAGAAAGACTTTGTAGCTGTACCCATTCCCAAGATTTAGAAGTGGGAGAAAAAGGGGGAACCTAGAAGCTGACTAAGGTATATAACCCATCAACCCCAATAGTCAGCATGCTTAGATGAGCTAAGTACCCACTTGTAGCCTCAGCTCAAGTACATAGAACAAACTTACTAACAACTTCATTTTCTCTACACATGGCAATTTAGACTCGCTGGGGGCCTGCGTGCAGCTTTGTGCTCATGTGTTTCATAAAGAAACTTGCTGTCTCATTTCCACTCTATGTGTTCTTCTCCTGCTTGAATTCATGTCTTGTGAGCAAGACAAGAACCGAGGCAGGGAAGAGGGCCTCTTGACTTGGGTCTCTCCCCATCTCTAACAGTTGGAGTTCCCTAGCATCTTTATTTCATTAATCATACTTATAAAGCTTCATGTACAGTTTCTAGTGCTGTTTTTCTTAAACTAGAGCAAGAGCCCAAGAACATGTGAGTTTCCAGATTTCTATAGAATGCTGATGGCCATCTAAATTTGAATCTCTCCACACATTCCTCTAGGGGGGGGAAAAAGACCATATTGAAAAGGAAAGACAGTAAAATCTCCCAACACCCAAGCCTACAACATGATCAGGAGACAGAATATATTTAAACCCGGGGTGGATGTGAGGAAATAACCACCTGAGACCTGAAAGGGCAGTGCTGGTGCCCACCCCACAGGGTCAGGCTGGGACTGTGCAAAGGAGAGCGAGGAGTGCAAGCGGGGAAGAGGCCCGATCATGTCTGGTAAAATAACCCCTCGGATGATGATGAACACGCCTGATACCTGGTAGATCAAACAGCTGGCTACTGGGGAGTTGAATGGAAGTGACGTGGAAAGTGCAGGATCAGGGTGGCCGTCTCGGGCAGGCGCCAATTCTGAGAGGAGCAGTTGACTAGCAAGTGTCTTTTGGAAGGCGGATGGTAAAGGGAAAGGAGGAAGAGGCAGCAGGTCATGGTCCTCCTGAGACAACACAGTATCACAGAATTATAAGACAGACAAACCGAAAGGAGCAGCACTTGTTAAAGAAACTGTACTTCACCATAGCAACAAAAGGTGCCCTTGAACTAAGAAATGAAATGAACTATCCAGCTCCCACCCTCCAGATCACCTGCTATTGTGAATCTGGGAAAAGCTAACATATGTAAATATAAACAGAAAACAGAAAAAGTCAGCCTCTAGGCAAGTTACCATAGGAGTTAAGAAAGTAGTAAGTGAGAATTGAAAACATTTGGCAACTCAGA